GAGGGGAGGGGGAAGAATGCAGAAACCCCAGACTGAGCCAGGTTAGAAGTGAACATTGCTGGCGCAGTTACTTTCTCAATTGGAGGTTTGAGAGAGAAACTCTCCAATCATAGAAGGCGGCACAGAAGTCAAGGTGTCTACAGCCTGAGAAAGCTCCTGGGATAGAGGTGGAAAAAAATCTGGAGTGCCAGAAGCTTAGCCAGGTTAGACTTTGAGTCTGGAAGACCTGGGTTCAGATCCAACCTCCAAGGCTTGTCAGCTGTGTGACTATAAATGTCTCCCAATCTCTCTAAGCCTCAGGCAACTTTCTAAAACTTACCTACTAAGTTATGGGTGCCTCCTTTACTGGAAAGATCCCCTATTTGGATTCTCCACTTCTCTGACCAGACACCATGCCCCAGAGGACTTAACCCTTTCACCTTCAGAAACTCGTGCCTCAGGGTCCTGACTGGTCATTACCTCAGTCATCTGGTACAAGGAGGCCTGCCTCCAACCATGCCTCACTCTACTCTTCAGCCTTCTTCTCACAGCTACCTTGACACTGCACAAGTATACTCCACCTCCAAGCTGCCATCGTTAATTATTGAACCATAATCAAACCAGTACTTCTGTTGTTCCTGGATAGAGCATGCCAACCTACACTTCTGGGGCCTCACTCAATCCTCAATCCAGTACCTTTCCAGTCAGTCAGTAAACATTTACTAAGCACATACTATGTGCCAGGCACTGTGCTAAGTGCTGGGGACACAAAGAAAAGCAAAAAACAGTCCCTGCCCTCAAGGAGCTCACAGTCTAATGGAAGAGGGAACATGCAAACAAGATATAAACAGAGTAAATCCAAGCTAATCTCAGGGAAGGCTCTAGGATTACGGGGGATTAGGAAAGGCTTCCTACAGAAGGAGGGACTTTTAGCTGGGATTTCAAGGAAGCCAGGGGAGCTGAGAGGAGGCAGAGATGAGGACTGCAGATATGGCCCACAGCCAAAGAAGATGACCAGAATCCAGAGAGGAAGAGCAAGAAGGCCACTGTCATTGGAAACCATGATACCCCTTCCCGGCTACCACTCACCTAAATGAGGTGGCTATTCCATTAGAGAGAGTCCAAAAGACCTCCACATGTCTAACCCCAGTGCTTAGCACATTTCTTGGCACACAGTAAACACAATAACGGCTGTTTCCTTCATTCTTTCCAAAATCCATTAATCACATTCCATTGTGCTCAAACAGCTGGATACAAAGTGTGTGGGGAACCCTCTTTTGGAACATAGATACACAAAGACTCCCAAGTAAGACATTATATACATATACATGTATATTTACAGGGCTCCCCTTCCACTAGGATTAGAACTTGAACTCCAGTTCTCTCCTGGCACCATCTTGAATAGTCTCTCTTGAAAGTGAAAAGAAACTCCAAAGACAAGGAAATTGACCTTCTGAAGCCAAGACAGATAAACCCATAACTCACTTTATAAGAGAAATAAGTCCCTGCCTCTCCATTCCTTATGCCATAAAGAATAAGCCTTGAAAGCCCCAAAAGCCAATTTTATACTTAACAACCTATAAAAGAAGGCTTCAGGCTGCGTTTAACAAGGAGCTCACAGCTCTCCTCAGAGGGGCCCAGGGATGCGCTTCCTTCCCAACAACTTCCCCCAGTGCCCTAACCCAGGACAAAGAGCAGTCAGAGAAGTCTAAGGCTGGCTGGAAACAAGTCTGAGAGGTCAACAAACCAAGCCTCAGCTTTCTGTGGAAACTCCCACAAAAGGCAATGTGGCCAAGAGGGTAGAGTCAGAGGAATTCCCAATCAGGGCGCCATGTACAAATCTAACTCAAGTCAAGAGGTCAGGTGGGACAGGAGGAAGAGGAAAGAGACAAATGATTTTAACTCCATTCTTATCTGAGCAGTCCAGTCATCAACAAGCAATTATTAAGAACCTACTATGTGCAAAGAATGGCAAAAGACAGTCCCTGCCTTCAAGGAACTCACAATCTAATGGAGGAGAAAATATGCAAACATCTAGGTACAAGCAAGCTACAGACAGGAGACATTGGAGCTAATTTTAGCACTGGCACTAAGGGCAACAGTGCTTCATAGTTTACACAGCATTTTCCTCACAACTCCATGCATTAGACAGGGCTTGCATTGTTACTTCATTGGGGTGATGGAAGCAATCTGGGTTAAGTGACTTGCCCAGGGTCACACAGCTAGTATCTGAGATGGGGATTTGAACTCAGGTCCGATGTTCTATATGCCGTGCTACCTACCCCATTATCTCATTTTACAAATTAGTTAGCTGAGGCATCTCCCTCCTAGTCCAGGGCTCTGGCATTAGCCATTCTTGTCCCTTCTTGGGTCACTTTCTTTCCCGTAACAAAGCTTTAAAAAAAAAAAACAACAAACCTAATCCCCAACCTGAACCCTTTTCATTGTCCGTAGGATCTTCCCCCAGCCTCAGCTCATACTCTACTTGAACCATGGTGCCACTGTCTTTTATTTATCTTTTGTTACTATCCTTGCAGGAAGAGGGGAAGGTCAAAATATGAGAGCAAAGGGATGGCTGATTGGATAGATGTATGAACAGAGAGAGAGACAACTTAAGAAACGCAAGAAACCTGAGATAGGACACCTCTATGGGAAATTTTGCCTCAGTTTACAAAAAGTCATTAGGGAAGAGGGTGCTTTGCCACACTTTCATCTGAGGGCCTTAGGGATCCCTGCTTCATTTTGAATTCAGAGCCCCGGTCACACATGTAAAAGGACAAAGCAGCCAGCCAGCAAGAAGCCGCCATATTGCATACTCAATCTCTCCCTCCCCATCCAGGTCCTCACTTCTCCAGAGTTAAGAAACAGTAAAGTAACGTTGGCAATTATAGACCAAAAAAAAACGCCATACCACATATTTCAATTATAGCTACAATAAAACCTCAGAAAGGGTACCACCTCCCAAATTCCTGGATCTCTCTAACTAACTCATCTAACTAAGAGATGCTTCACACTTTTTTTGATTATTGTTAAAACTGTGTGCAAGGAGGCTGACCACCTTCCCAAAGCGCTAAATTTCTGGAAACAGAATATTTACATTTGGAAAATCCCAGGGGCTCTGGTGACTCTACCAGGAAAGGGGGGGAGGGGAAGGGAAGTCAGCATATCCATCAAGACTGTGAGAAAGAGCCTTGGACTCTCGATTTCCCAAGAAGCCCTTGACCCAAGCGGTGCCCGGAGAGGCTAAGGGGAGCTACAAATGAGGCCTGGTCCAGATCCACAAGAGCCTGGATCCTTCCTCAGGCTACTAGGGTCAAGTCTGGGCCCTTTGAAGACTGACAGAAAATGAAAAGCAGCAGTGGCCCCTTGAAGAGGACATCACCATAATTGGACCTGCTTCTTTCATGGTAATTTTCCTATTAACTCCCATTAAGTCCTTTTTTTTTTTTTTACCCTGCCACCCTCCTCCTTACATACACACAGGGTGTATTTATTTAAAGGGTACTTTTTAAAAGTTGCAACATAAGCCTTGATTTTAAAAAGGAATAAAATACAATTCTTCCTTTTCAGCTTTTAAATATATAAATACATACAAATATATAAAAGGGATAGGCAAGGCGGTGGGGGGGGATAGAGAAGGGGAAGGAGCAGAGCAGCTTAAAACTTACCCCCAACCTGTGTGCTCTGCAGGGCTCTAGGACAATAGATGGGGGTGAGGGTACTACAGAGACAATGCAGAGGAATGGCCGCCATATTGCTAGCTAGACATGGGTTCAGGAACAAGCCCTCCCACTCTCAACCTGTGTCATTTGGAGCAAGTCATTTTATCTCTATAGGCCTCAGTTTCCTGTTCTACAAAAGGAAGAGGTTCAAGTGACTGGTCTTTCAGGTCCCTTCGAGCTGCAAACCCATCATTTTATGAACTCAACAGCTCTGATTCAGAGCAGGAACCTTTCCATTCTATTTTCCCTAAGCATTCATCAACACGGTCTTCTGCTTTCCGGCAGTCATCCAAAAAGCCTTCCTAGTTTCCCAAGCCTGGCCTTCTCTATGAAAGACGATCTAAGCTCTAAACAAATACTCCCTTCTCCCACCTGGCAGCCCCTCTCATTTTTGGCTGTGATTTTCTACATTGGGAATTATCCTTCCTACAAACTTCCAGTTCCCCAGCCAATGTGGCAAGAACGTGTCTCTTGCTATTAATCCTCTGACCCTCTTCAGCATCCCCAGGGTGCCCTCATGTCTGGGAGGCACAGTACAAGTTTGGTCGATGGAACCCCAAACCCTAGGTGGCAGCCTGTCCTAGGACTGTCTTCTTCCTTCCATCCCCGCAGATCTGTGTATGCGAGGTTCCAAGGATTCTCTTGATCCATGGGGTCACAGACTTAGATCAGAAGGGACTTTCAAGACCACTGAGTCCAACCTCTTCTTTTTGTATATGAGGAAACCGAGGCACAGAAAAATCAAATGACTTGCCAAAGTCCCTCAGGTAGTACGTCTCTGAGGCAGGATTTGAAACCAGGTTTTTCTGACTCCAAGTCCAAGACTCCCTATCCACTCCACCTAGTTCCTTCTCCCTTCCTTGCCTGTCCTCATCCTGCTTAGGAGACGTTGGCAGCTGCCCTGGAGTCTGGAAGGCAGAAGACACCCTCCAATCCTTCCCATGTTGCACCTGTCTCTGCTGCGGGTTCTCATACTGGGGCATCTCACATTAAACCATCCAGCTTTCCCCTGTGTGAGTTTAAAAGCCCCAAAAAAGGTTTTGTATTCCTGGCTAGTCTAATTCTTCAGTGAAACCTCCCTTTCAATCCAAGGGCAATTGTGACAAGCTAGAGCAGCTGCCGTGAGTAATGCTAACATCATCTTTGGCCGTATCTGCATCACTTTCCAAGTAGGGAAACAAAGTCATCCCCCTGCTAAGGGACCAAACACATCCACGTGGGAGGAGATCAAGGCTCGTGCTCTGTGATGGCAAAGATTTGGTATGGAGCTGGGCCACAGCAGGGGCTGTGCAGACTTACCTTCTGCCACATGTTGATGAAAAACAGCTCTCGAGAAACATTGAAGGAGACATTGGCATCGTAGGCGTCGTCCCCCAGGTTGGAAATGGAAATATTAAGAGAAAGATTCTTCACGGCCCCCAGGGCCAGGTATGGTGTTTCTCCATCGACGCTGTAATTATAAATAGAAGGACATTAGCGTGTACCGGCAAGGTTCCTGGCAGAAGAAGCAGTGGGCCTTGGACATGCAGGCAGGTCTTGCTTTATGTAAATTCTCATTATGCAAATTCAACTTTACATAAAGAAATCTGAAAGATGTCCTTATTCAGAAAAAAAAATGCCAATGTTAACTTGACTGTGCATTCTATGCTTTCTCCCTCTGCTCCTGCCCCTCGGCTCAGTGCTCCCGATTCCCCGCCCCCACATGAAAGCAGAAGGACAGACTGAGCCAAGCTCCCAAGTGCTCTCCAGGCCTCTCTCCCTCAGGATCACAAGTAATTATGAAAGTGTTTTAATACTGAAACATGATGATCATTAATAATGTGATGATGAGGAGATGATCGTCTGACCTGCAGTCAAAATTCGTAATTCCATACTTTTTAGGTGGACACCAATAAATACACAGAAGTCATTACACCAAGTAAGATTAATTAATACTTAATTAATAAGATTGTGAACTCCTGGAGAGAAGGGAGCATCTTTTGCCTCTTTATGCATCCCTAGCACTTGGCACAGTCAGAGCCTTAGACCATAGTAGGTACTTAATGTTTATTGATCAATCGATATTGATTGATTGATGTGGAAAGCACTTTTAAAACCTTAAAGTGCTACATAAATACCGGTGATTATTATTTTGTGAATGGAGGTGGAAAGCTCGTGCTTTCATCCACACAGGAAACTCCAGGTACAGGACCTCCCTTTGCTGGCATTGACCAATGACTGGGCAGTAACTTACAGTCTTAGAATGTTGACTTCAGCACTGAGAGGTGCCTTGGTCACATAGTCTACCATCACCTCTGGGTCAGAAGCAGGACTTGCACCTGGACCCTCTGGACCCCAAGGCTGGCCTTCTGGGCACAGCCTCAGTCACTGGTCCCTTGGCTTCATCCTGGCCTTCTTTTTGCCACCCAGCCTGCCATTGTCATCCCTTGGAAACAGACTTCCAGATATAATGCCTATGCTTAAGCTAAGCTACCAAGCTTTGGAGTTCCCACTCTGGGGCCATGCCTTCCTTACTGGTGAGAGCATGAGTGCAAATTCAAGTAGCCCAGGACATCTCACCAGGGCCATACCCCAGCCTCAACCATCTTGCTGCTAGCCACCACCAGTTCCAGCCGTGCCCCCCTCATTCACCTCTTACTCTGGGCACCATAATCACATCAACCCTTCCATTGCTCCCAGACAGAGGGTCTCCATGATTCTAATACACCTCTTGGGATTCTGCATTAGAATGTAAGCTCCCTGAGGGAAAGAATGTTTCATTTTTGTATTCATATCACCCATGCTTAGCAGGGTGTTCAAAACATAAAACAAGGGCTTCATAAATGCATATTTATTCATTTCATGCTGCTCTATTTTTTTTTCTGGATATTGCCCTAGGAGGGGGGAAAAGCAAGGTAAAAAAACAAGGTTAATGCATTCTTAGATGGGCCTGCTGAATGATAACGAGTGGTTGGAATCATGCGATGCTTTACAGGTGAAAATGGGGACTCTGAAAGGAGATGGGGAAATTACTGGTGTCCACCCACACTGTTGTTTTAGATGGAGGACAAGCAACCAGAACCATCCGCCCCTAAAAACTCTGGCTTTCCTACTTTGGAAGTAAAAGCACTGATGGCCTGAACCGATCCAAATCTGTAACTTAGGAGAGAATTCCAAATCCCTGGGTTAGCGCCAAGAAAGTGGGACCCTGACCCCCGAGTGATTGCAGCAGTTATTTATTATGCAGGCTAATTTAATTTTAACTGAACTCAAGGCTATTTCTGTCCCATCTCAGGGATTTAAGGCATCACACTCAAGGAGGTTTGAGAACACTCTTTCAATTTGAACTTGAGTAGAAATTATAGGAATTAGTAGTGCCTGTCATCCTATCACAGAATGGCATCATCCTAGGTGGTGCAGGGCCTTTGCTCATGGCTATACCTCATGCCCAGAATGGCCCTCTCACCCCCACTTCTTAGAATCTTCCTTCAAGGCAGAAGTCAAGTGCCACCTCCTACATGAGGCCCACCCTGATCTCACCATTGCTAAGGAAGGGATCCTCTCTCTCCAAAATTGCTATTTACTTTGAATGTATGATGTGTTTACTATATGCCACTAAGTGTGCCATGTTTACTTTGTATATGTGACACATTTACTTTGTATAAGTGGTGTGCTTACTTTGTACATGTGACATGTTTACTTTGTATATAGGGCACATTTACTTATCTCCATACATGCATCTCCCCCAGGATAATATAAGCTTCCTGAGGGCAGGGCCTATTTCCTTTTCATCAAGTCCTAGCCCTAGAATGATGTCTGGAACATAGCATATGCTTAATAAACACTTGTTCTATAAATGACTCATGACTTGAGAAACAATAGCTTACTTCCAAATTATGCTAAGTGACATTGGAAAAGTCATCTTGACAGTTTCTTCATCTGTGTAATGGGGATAATTCTCTCTACCCAGATCAAATAAGATAATTTATATGAAGCACTTTATCAGTTAAGTATATAAATGTCAGCTGTTGCTGGTGTTGTGATTCTATTTAAAGGATTCAAAGAATCATAGCATGACAAAGCTGAGAAGAACCTCAGAGGGGCATCTGTTTCAGCCCTCTCATGTTGACGATGAGAAAAACTAAAGCCCCATTATAGGATTATAGTATCCTAGACCTACAGTAGAAGAGACCTCAGACACAATGTAGTCCAACCCCCAAATAAATATCATCATTTGTATTTATACAGTGTCCAGGCACTGTGCTAAATGCATTTTATAAATATTATCTCATATAACCCTCACAACAACCCTCTGGGGTTGGTGTTATTATTATCCTCATTTTACTGTTGAGGAAACTGAGGCAAACAGAGGTTAAAGGATTTGATGAAGGTCACACAGCTAGTGTCTGAGGTTGCATTTAAACTCAGGTCTTCCTGACTCCAGGTCCAGCAGTCCATCCACTGCACCACCTAGCCACCTCATTTTACAAAGAAGGAAACTCAGGCCCAGAGAGAAGTGATTTTTTTCAAAGTCACCCAGATCATAAGAAACAGAGTCAGGATCTGAACTCTGGGTCTCTAACTACAATGCTAGTGCATTCCTTCGTCCACTTTTTTAAAGAGATGAATTTTTTAAAACTCAAATGCAAGCACACACACATCAAGCTGTCAAAATTATTATCAGCAATAAAAGTCAATGCTGGCAGGACTGTGGAAAAACAGGAACACTCATTCCCTAATGGCAGAATGACAAATTTGTCGACCTTTTTGGAGAGCAATCTGGCAGTATACAGTAAAAGTTACAAAAATAGTCTTACCCTTTGACACAGTAATTCCATTTTCAGGATCATCCCCTGAAGTGGTATCCCAAAAAAAGAGCTCTCTGTTCAAAGATTTTCATAGCAGCATTGTGTGTCTTTTTTTAAAACCCTGAAAGCAGCCTACATATCCAAAAATAGCGTGATGATTAACTAAATGGTGGTATATTGATGTCATGGGGTACTGGAATGTAATTAAGAATGACAACGATGAGGAATACAAAGAAATCTGCAGAGCCCTTTATGAAGCAATGCAAAGCAAATAAAAAACAGAGCAAGAATAGAATCCCCACTAACTACAATCAGACTAGGAGAAGTAAATCAGAATGAATGAATAAAGAATGCTGAAGGGGATTTAGCAGAAGGGACTCAACTCTACACAGGCATAGCTCATTATTGCATTTTGCTTTATTATGCTTTGCAGATAGTGTGATTTTTACAAATTGAAAGTTTGTGGTGACCACCCCTGCCTTAAGCAAGTCCATTAGCGCCATTTTTCCAAAAGCATTTGCTCACACCCTGTCTCTGGGTCACATTTTAGTAATTCTCATAATATTTCAAACTTTTTCCATTATTATTATATCGATTATGGTGATCTGGGAAACCATAAACCATGCCCATAGAAGACAGTGTACTTAATCGATAAATGTTTGTGTGTTCTGACTACTCCACCAACCCGCTGTTCTACCCGCCTTGGGCCTCCCTAGTCCCTGAGACACAACAATATCGAAATTAGGCCAATTAATAACCCTACAATGGCCTCCAAGTGTTCAAGTTAAAGGAAGAGTCAATGTGGCAAACTTCATTGTTATCTTATTTTAAGAAATTGCCACAGCCACCCCCACCTTCAGCAACCACTACCCTAATCAATCAGCAACCATGGACTCTGAGGTAAGACATTCAACCAGCAAAAAGGTGAGGGCTTGCTGAAGGCTAACATGATGGTTAGCATTTGTCAGTAATAAAGTATTTTCAATTAAGATATGTACATTTTTAAAGACATAACACTACTGTACACTTAATAGGTTACAGTATAGTGCAAACATAACTTTTATATGCACTGGGAAACCAGAAAGTTTGTATGACTTGCTTTATTGCAGTGGTCTGGAACCAATCCCACAACATCTCCAAGGTTTGCTATAGAGTTATGGTGCTTTGTGTGATGAAATCAACTTACAGGTAAATAGTCACAAATAAGTATCACCGCTGATATTTAATATCAAGGTTTTTTCATTGGAGGAGAGGAGAGAAGAAAAAGGGAGAGGAGGAGATGAAATTGAAAAAGGAAGAAAAGAAGGCATTTCGTTAGCAACTGTACTAAGTAAGCACTTTACAAACACTATCTCATTTGATCCTGGAAGGTAGGTGCTATCATGATCCCCATTTTACAGTTGGAAAAACTGAGACAAAGGTTAAGTGACTACTCAGGGTCACTTAGTAAGTGTCTGAGGCCAGATTTGAAATCAGGTCTTTCTGACTTTAGGCCCAGGGCTCTATCCACTGAGCCACCTAGAAAAGCCAGGTCAGGAGTTAAAGTGACTTCTCCATGGTGCAATCCATTAATGCGAGAGCCAAGAATCACCCTCAGGTCTCCAGGACCGTAGAGTTATGAGCACTGTGTGCAGAGACCAAAAGCCCCATTGGTTCATACACC